GAATATATACATATTAGAGTACTACTCAGCAGTAAAAAACAAGGACTTCTTGAAGTTTGCAGGCAAATGGATGGAAATAGAAAACACTATCCTGAGTGAGGTAAGCCAGACCCAAAAAGAGGAACATGGGATGTACTCACTCATATTTGGTTTCTAGCCATAAATAAAGGACATTGAGCCTATAATTCGGGTTCTTAGAGAAGCTAAATAAGAAGGAGAACCCAAAGACAACCCACATTTTTAAATGAGCAAAGCAGAGATCTTTCTTATCTTACTTTAGATTGCTTTCTGAATTCAAATAGACAACAGCCTCATGGCTCATAGTCCCCGAGTCTGGAAAGTCCAAAGCCATTGTCAGGTATGGGAAAGGGGTCACTTCCTAGCTTGAAAATGAACAATAAACAAAAGAAACGATGCCCAATATCACTAGCCATGAGAAAAATTCAAATCAAAGCAATATGAGGTTTCACTTCATATTCACTAAGATGCTGTGATCAGTCCCGTTTCTATGTAACTATTCCACAAGACAGAAAAACATACATCTATTTTTTTTTTAAAAAAAAAAAAGGGGGGGGGAGTTCACAATATTATTTGTGACATCCAAAACAAAATACACTAAAGAAACAAATAAAAACTCAGAAAGGATTACAAAACTACGAAACAGAACAAAGAACATATACATGAATTTTGAAGATGTTTCCTAAGTCAAAAAAATCAGACACAAAGGACACAAATACTACATCTAGTTCTATGGAATCTCTAAAACATACAAAAAAGCTACAGGCGAAGAGATGGAGGCGGAAAAAGTGGTAGCTAATGAGTATGGGTTTTCTTTGGAGGGAAAGGGGGGACTGATGAAAAGGTTCAATTGCCAAGCATGGTGGCACACATCTTTAATCCCAGCAACCAGAAGGCGGAGGTAGGTGGATCTCTGTGTTCAAAGCCAGCCTGGTCTATACAGCCAATTCAAGGCCAGCCAAGATTACATAGAGACCCTGTCTCAAACAAAAACAGCAACAGAAATGCTTATACCTTAAGAAAATACCTTAAGAGGATAAACTACAGGGTATGCCCACACAGACAAGTTTTTGTTATTACTATTGCTTTTTAAGTGTAGAGTCCACAAGGATCAGATCTATTGGCCTACGCTCAACTGGCACATTAAAAATTCGAGAAAGAAATGAACAGTTATGAGACTGTGCCAGCTTGTGTAGAACTGCTCCTCTCTCAAGTGCTGGGATTGCAGGCAGGCATCATCATGCCTGACAAGAGTGTGTATTTCTTTTACTACTTTTTCAGATGGGAAAAATAGAATTAAGTCCAAATTCATACAAATTCTCACACACACGTTTATAAAATGACAGAGAAAAAAACTTATGGAGGAGGGATCTCCATAAACCTTGAAATGATTAAAATAAGCATAAAAATGTGGCTCAAGGACAGTGATTGCCTAGCACAAACAAGGTGTTTGGTTCAAAACCACACACACACACACACTTAAGATAAAATACAGACCCAAGAAAGACATAAAGCAAAATACAGAGCTAAAGAGTTATCCAAGTTACTAGAATAAAGAAGTTTCTCTGAATAATGGAGTACACAAAACATACTCCAAAAAAAAACCCTGAAATGTCTGACTATATGAAAACAAGTAATATGAATCTTGGGCTTTTGAAAATCAAAAAATCAACAAAGAATTAAACTAGCATCCCTAAGAATGATGTACTCATGCAGCAAGCACTTTAACCACATTGATCAAAGACCAAAGACTGACCACTAACAACTTGACATGACTCCAAGGACATATTTTACTCAGGTAACTATCAGCAAAACAAGAGAAGAATTTAATGTCAGTATGAACTGAACAGAAGCACACCCTACAAGATAACCAGCTATGTCTTTAAAAAAAAAATCCCTGTCAAAACACTACAAACCATCATAGAGTAGAACTGAAGGTGATTGAAAAGACAACTTAGAGCCAGGCGATGGTGGTGCACACCTTTAATCCTAGCACTCAGGAGGTAGAGGCAGGCGGATCTCTGTAAGTTCGAGGCCAGCCTGGTCTACAAGAGCTAGTTCCAGGACAGGCTCCAAAGTTACAGAGAAACCCTGTCTCGAAAAAACAAACAAAGAAAGAAAGAGGGAGAGAGGGAGAGAGGGAGGGAGGGAGGGAGGGAGGGAGGGAGGGAGAGAGAGAGGGAGAGAGAGAGAGAGAGAGAGAGAGAGAGAGAGAGAGAGAGAGAGAGAGAGAGAGAGAGAGAATTTAATGCCACACACGATCCTGAAATGAATCTTGAATCAAAACTATTTTTAAAAAATAAAACATACCAAGCTCATCCCAGTAAAGTTTCTTTGCAGAAAACTGTCTGGATTGGACTGAGCAGACCATCTGATCAAGGGCTCAGAACAAAGGAAAAAATAAACATGAATGTTTACTTACAAGAGAAAGGAAAGAGAAAGAAGACATTTTTCCTCCGAACTCAGTATGTCATTTTTTTATTATTAAGTTAAAAAATTAAAAAACAAAAATTAAAAAATAAAACATATACAAGTAATAGCCATATAATGGGCAGTTAAGGGTTGTTGGCAAAGATAAAGACATTTCTTTTTCTTTTTTGTAACATTTTTTTATTATGTGCATGTGTGTGTCCATATGAGTGAATGCCATCTATGTTGAATGCTCTCTCTTAAGTAGGAACGGTGCGATGGGTACCTTGGAGTTGTAATTAATTACAGGTGACTATATGTCTCAAGACTTAGGAGCTGAAAACCAAATTCGTGTCCTCTGGAAGAGCAGTTAAGTGTTCTTAATCACCAAGTCTCTACAACCCCCATCGCAAGAGGAACACTTTTTTCAGTGGTGTAGCCACTGAAAGGTTGGTAGAATACCTATGCTCCTTTGCGCTCGTGGAGGACAAAAATAAAACAAAATGCTCATATTTTAAAGAGAATCTTCACTAAAAAATTTCAGTGTAGTCTCACAATATCTACTATATTACTTCTAGTAATTCAGCCCCCCACACACACTATATTAATATATGCCCGTATCACACCTGTCTGTGCTACACTCACTGTGTATATAAAACACAGTAGTAGACATGTTTTTAAGAGAAAGAAAAGCTAATGTAGCAAAACGTTAGTAACGCAACAACCTGGATGGATGGTTTAGTCACGATCTACTAAACTCTGCCAGCAAATTGGCTATGGGTGTGAAATCTTTCAAATTACAAAAGCTGAGAGAAGGCAGAGGAAGAACAGAGGGAAGTTATTGAAGGGAGATGAACAAAAGCGTGTTTTTACAGGAAAATGAAACCACTGAAAACCAAGGAAGAGATAGCAAAACAGCTAAAAAGCGCGTGGGGGGGGGGGGGAGGGACACCTCCCTGACTACAATCATTATATAAACACACACACACACACACACACACACACACACGAGAGAGAGAGAGAGAGAGAGAGACAGAGACAGAGAGAGAGAGAGAGACAGAGAGAGAGAGACTGGGAGACTTTGCAAGTATCAGTAGAGAGAAAAGGAAAACTACCTAGAAGGTTCCACGGAAAGCATCCCCGCCCACTTGAGCGTAGTAGCCCACTCAGCGCAAGACCGGCAGATCCGGGGGGCCCGGCGCCCAGAGGATCTCGGCAAAACCTCCGGAAGGGCCGGGCTCCTAAGTACTACGGAGGAAAGGGCAGGCCCACCTCACCGATAGCAGCGCAGAGGAGGAGCGTTCGCAGCAGCCAGAAAGGGACGGACCTCTCCGACCGGGGGCGTGCACACCCGCCAGGACAGCAGCATCCCGGCCACACCCTCCCGGTGAGCCCGAAAAGCCCACGGCCTCCGTGAAACCCGACGCATACGCTATGCACGCCACCCCCGCCAACACCCCCTCCCTCCGACTCCCACTCGCACAACACTCCGCGGGGAAGATGAAGCATAGAACGGCGCCGAGGCGCGGAAGAACTCACCGTTGTCGATCGGCGGCAGCCATGTTCGCGGCGACCGCGCATGCGCAGACTCCGGTCCCGGGATTCATGCGCATCCTGGAGATTCAGCCCCCTCTGGCTGGCAGCAAGGTGCTGGTTTAAGAGCTTTGCACTGTTCACTGGTCCCTGCAGCTGGCCAGACAGGCTACCTGGACCTGTCACCCAAGGCATTGCGATCAGGAAGAAATGTTTCTTCACCTTTATTTACGTAGATATAACTAAGTCATTGAGGACTCACGAATATTCATTTTCTACCTTACAATTGAGAGGGCTGCCTCTGGATACAAGATAGTCTGTCCCACGTTCTCCCCATGTTAAGATTTGGTTATAGAGTCTTATTTTTATTTACTACATAACTTGACAAAAATACGCTTAAAGGGAAAGTGCTAGCATTCAGCCAAATACACCTATTTTATTGGCAATCATAGGAGGAAATAAGCAATTTTTTAAAATTTATGTGTATGGGTGTTTTGCATGCACATATATCTGCATCTTGTGCATGCAGTGCCCCCCCCATAAAAAGGTGTCAAATCCCCTAGGTCTGAAATTATAGATGATTGTGTCGCCATGTGGGTGCTTAGAATTGAACCCATCTTACAGAAGAGCAGTAAGAGCTCTTAACCTCTCTCTCCATATCTCCAGACCCAGGCTACATCCTTAAAAACAATTTTAAAAAGAGCTAAGGAGTCTAGAAAATTAGCAAATGTTTTTTAATCAGTAGCTAAAAATCAGTAATAACCAGTAGAAACTGTGTTGAAAGGAAATAAATGTTCTCCATCTTTTATGTTAATGTACAGAATTCTGACTTTTACAAAAATTCAAAGTGGGCATTGTTGAAATAAGAAGCGGCGGCGGGGCTGCGTCCCCAACACCCCGGCCGCTTGGCTAGCTCATGCCCGAAATAACAACACACAAACTGTATTCATTTAAAGAACTGCTTGGCCCATGAACTCTAACCCTTACAAGGCTAATCTCGCACCTGGACTAGCCCATTTCTAATGATGTGTGTAAGCACCCCAAGGTGCGCTTATCGGGAAGAGTCTAGCCTCCGTCCATCCTGGTGTCTCTGCTCCAGAGTGCAGAGCTGTCGAGTCTCTCCGGAAGCAGAGCAGAGTCTGACCTCACTTCCTCTTCCGCCCAGAATTCTATTCTGTTTATTCCACCCACCTATGTTCTAAGCTATGAGGCCAAGCAGTTGGTTTATTATAATTAACCAATTACCTTCCTCCATCAGGGCATGGTGGAGGAAGCATGCCTGTGATCCCTGCACTTGCCAGGGAGAAACAGTTGGCCTTTAAAAAGCCAAAACCATACTTCTATAAAACACAGATTAAAAAAAAAATTAGTGAGTTATTTTATGGCGGTGAGCTTTTGTTTATAATTGGGTCTTGTGACACTAAGTCTGACCTCAGATTTTAAGTGATTTTCCTACATCTTTGTCCCTCGTGCTGGAATGCACCACTGTGGTCTTTTGAATAACACTGGCCCCCATAGGCACATATATTTGAATGTCTATTTCAGAAAGATTAGAAATTGTGGCCTATAGGGGCCATATTATACAGGCCGGTATTTCTACATTGTATGGCAGCCAGAATTTCAGGCCACAATTTGCACCTGCCACACAAAAGGTGGTCGCCTAGCTCTCGCCATCCTAAACAAAGAATCCGGATATGCTAATGTCGCTCTGCTCCTTTGTAATTTGGGAGATCGCCTGGGAAAGAGTTGTTAATGTTTTACTTTTTGATTTGAGTAGTGGTTCATGTAAGGACACTGTTGATCTTTGTTGCAATGTCCACCAAAGTTTACAACTGATAAAGTAAACCCTAGGTCACAAGAGTTTCATAGCAGGTTTTTTTTTTTTTTTAACTGTAAACAAAGTTTGGTCGTGTCTGCATGGCTAATAGAAAATTGCAGGTTCATGTCTGGGAAGGAGTAAGGCCAAACTCAGAAGTTTTATGTGCCTAGGCCTTAACCATGGCTCACTCCTATTTTAACATTCTTATTTGAAAACACCTCTATGTAATATAAACATAGCCTCTGCACAGGCAACTTTTACAGCAGTTGGTGACTTGTGCTGGAATGCTTAACTCTCAGTTGATGAGACTTCTCCCAGAGTGGAGAAGGCTCCTTTTCCTCCACTGTCCCCTTACAATTCTTTTTCTTTATATTCTGCCTCAACTGGACATACTGAATTCTACATCAACTTAAACTACATGTTCCCTAAACTATACCTGTCTTTCTCTCTTTCCATTTACATTTGAACTTCTCTCTGGAGTTGGGTTTTCTAAGAAGGTGGCTTCTTGAATGGGGACTGGGGGGGATACAATGGCCCATGACTCATCCTTCTATTTAAACAAGTATCTAAGTGAACCTAAGAAAAGTATTTGATGTAGGGAACCATGACAAGAACTATTTTCTTTTTTTTTTTTCATAAACTAAGCAGAAGGGGAAAAAAAGCTTAAGAATTTCCCAGAATCATACTTTAGATATGCATTCTCCTTTGAGAGAGGTTTCCTTTCTGTGACATCTTAGACTTAACTGAATTGTGCACACTTCAAAGAGCTGAGCCAGAACAAAGGAGGGAAGATAGGTTGTCCTTCCACTGATGAGGAAGGTGCCTATATCAGGCACGTGGGAAGACCCAGAAGAATAAATGGCTGTTTGTGTGCAGCTGCCACATTCACTGGCCTGACATTTACCATGACCCAATCAATAAGGGTGTGCAGTGTTGTGGATATTAAAAAAAAAAAAAAAACAAGGCTCCAGCAACCAGCAAAGAAATAAGCCAAGCAGGCTGGGCAGTGGTGGCACATGGCTTTAATCCTAGCACTTGGGAGGCAGAGACAGGTGGATCTCAGTGAGTCTAAGGTCAGCCTGTTCTACCAAGCAAGTTCCAGGATAGCCAGGACTGCTACACAGAGAAACCTTGTTTGGGGGGGGAGGGGCAGCCATCATAAACCACCACCAAGGAAGACCAATGGCTGTAAGAGATAACGAATGGCCTTAACCCAAATCAAATGAGCAAACCCAGGAACTGCAGTTAGAATGGAAAGCTTTCTGTAACTGAACAGCTTGAATCTCAAATGTGTAAGCAGACAATTCAAACAAAAGCTTCTGCAGGCTGGATGGTGAAGTGAAAAAAAAAATATCAAATTCAAAAGCAAAGCTTTAAATATTCTTTCTAGGGAAGGTGGAAAATTTCAAACAAAGTATTAAATATGGCATGGTAGTATATAGTCTCAGCACTTGGGCGGTGAAGGCAGGAGAATTAGAAGTTCAAGGGACATCATGGCCTACAATACAGAAGACCTGACTTAATAAAACAAAATAAGTTAATTCATGAGACACTGGAACATTCACAAGGAAAACAAACAAAAAGCTGGACATTTGGGGGCATTTCTGTAATCTCAGCAATCAGGATGTGGATGCAAAACAATCAGGAGTTTAAAGCCTGGACTATAGGACATCCTGTACAACAAAAAGAAAGAACAACAACAACAAACAAGAATAAACCAAAATAGCTAAAATAATAGTGTTAAGATCATGAAGGTCCTTCTACTCAGAGAGAAGCACTAAGAGAATCAAGAATATCAATCACACAGGGATGTCTCCTCAATAGCTGGATAAAAACCAAATATCTGTATTGCATCCTGAAAGCTGAGAGTGAGGTTAATAATGATCTGGTGACTGTTTTGATACCTGATGGAGAAAGCCCTCACCCTAATTCCCCAGAATGATTATCCCAGACTCTCACCTCCCTAGATCATTACCCATCCTTAAGGAAGATGTTATGCGTATTTTTATGGTCCGCTGACCTCTATGATATCAGACAGAGACCACATTGGATTCTAGCCTTTTAGCTATAGAATACACCCTCACGGTCACATGTACTTTGTAAAAGAGTCTATATAATTACACCTTAAGCTTTATTGTACCCCTGGAACTGAACTGATTGGACTGACTTGTTTGGAGACCTTTTTCCAAACTGCACTGTGTTTTAAATAAGCTGACAATGAAGACGATGAACTGTCTGCCATTAGTCTGTCTCCCCAAAGTCTGACCCAGGTTGACAAAGTCAGTCTGAATCAGGTTTTCATTCTCGTCTTCTATTGGGTTTGCTTCCCTGCCTGGATAATTGCAGGGAGCCCTCAATATAGATTTGATTCGGAATTGAAATAACAAACAGAAATGAATATAGTAGAAACAAATCCAAACAGGCTTATCTTTGACTACCAACCAAATGCAAAATGTACAAATCAATGTTGAAAAAAATGTTGAAAAACAGAATTTTTTTTAAGTGCTTCCAATGAATGATGGAGTTGTTTTATTAATATGTTAGGGATTGAATCTAGGGCCTTGAACATGCTTGGCAATCACTCTAACACTGAAATACACACCAATGCTGAGCTTTGTGTTTTAATATATTAATATTATAGAATATATGTTTCTATCAATTTGATGTATTTTCACCAATTTGCATAGTGGAAAATGCATATTGTATTGTTTCACCATATTGCAAAAATAGTCCACTGTATCAATGTTTGCAAACTCTTAAGGCATTTCTTTTAAAAAGCAGCAAGTCATATAATACACTCATGTACTTCAAATATATTGAACATATTCTCAGAAGTACTATAGATGTCATAAAAAGTACACTAAGTGTAAACAGAAGAACTGTATGTTCCTAGCATTGAATGATAAAAGTACAGAGAAAACAGACACACGATAAAAGACGTTAACATGTAACAGGAAGACAGAGCTTCAACAAATGGAGCCTGGAATAGACCAAAAGGCTCTGAATGGTTAACTCAAAGGAGAAAGCAAAACAGTTAGTAAATATGTGAAATACTGATCAGGGTGTTTTATAGAGAAGGAA